GGGGGAGGAATTTATGGGGGTCACTAATTGAGGTCAGTTGATAGAGCAGCGCAACAAAGGGTGTGGGGCGGAGAGGATGGCGGAACTCACGAGCGCTCGCCTACTCGCGATTCATTGAAGCCGACTGAATCGCGAATCGTCACTCTCAAATTTGACGAGCAGGATCCAGCCCTAGTGAGTGGGAGTTTGGGGAGAGTACTTGTTTGAACAGGTGAGAGTTCGGGACAGGTGGCTGTTAAAGCAGGTTCGACTGCATTTACTTTGTGGTTGCTGTTACCTGATTGAAAAAAATTTTTGGGGTAAGTGTTTTACGACTTCTGCAACTGCATAAGGTCATATAAGCGCGCTGGACACATTAAACATTTTCAGTTGGTAGGAAATTTTGAATTTTGCCCGTCTGGCGACCGAAGTCTACTCTTATCTAATTTAGACCACAAAGGGATCTTTAAGGTGCGCAACTTGCACACAGGACCTCCCAAGATTTTTTGCCCTTGTCCAAGAAGGCTAGGTGTAGATATTTCCTACCATAAGATCAGGGGTGTGTCTGAAAGACTGCAGTAAGAACGAGCCAAGCAGTAGCAGCAGAACGGCTGCAGAAAGAGTCAGGAGCCCAGAGGAGGGGGCAAAGGAGGTGATGGGGTGGGGGCAGAAAGTGGAGACTAAAGCAGAAGACAGAACATTGCTAGAGAGCAGGAAAGGAGGTGAAAGGAGACAATTTTAAAGAAGAAAATTTTTCGGTTGCAACCCGGATTCAAACCTGGGACCTTTGAATGAGAGGCGAACACCTTAAGCTCTAGGCTAGGAGAGCCCCCCTGTAACCTGAGGAAACCACCAGACCTGTTACTGGCAAAAGGTTATAACTAAACAATGCACCAACACATCACTGCAGCTAGTGAACTACAGGGTTTTCCAATTTCATTTGCTTCTTTCAGACTGGTTTGAGTCTCGAACAGCACATCGACACCTTAACTGTCCATGGAAAAAGCAAAAGCAAAAGACAGAAACAACACAGGGAAAGACAAGAAGTAGGATCTACACCTGGCGGCATCCTTCAATCGCACCCCATTTTCTTTTATTTACTTCAGTTTTGTTTGAGTACAAAGACTCAAAAGTACAACCACCCGCACATTGTAAAGTTAAGTTATGTGAGAGTAAAGAGAGCACAAACGGGCCGGTCTTGTCTTGTACCTTTACTATCCTCCAGAGTGGCGTCACAGGCTGAGTCTCCCTCACTTGTCTGTGTTTTCTCGCTGTCGTCCGATGTCTCTCCCTCCGAGGCAGCTTCTCTGCTGTGGTCCGACGTGGTGCCGTGCTCGCGCCCACTGCTCCCATGAACAACACAAGACATTGTCAGACTTTGTTTAAGAACAGAGAGGAACATTGACACAACAATGATAATTTCGTGCAAGGAAAGAGTAATACAAACAGACAGAGGAAATGGAAAGCAGAAAAAGAACCTACCAGCGATGCCCTCCAATCCCCCCATTTATCCAACTAGTGTCTTCATTATTGTGTTCACTTTTTTCTGCACATGTTTCTCCTTAAAGTAATTTAGTCTTAACAGAATTATCAACATAATTCGGCCATATAAATGCCAAGCTTCACCATCTTTAGTAAAATTTTTAAAATCCAGATTTTTATACAAAATATCCGTTTTAAAATGCTATCATGGATAAACTGCATCTTTAAAAAATGCATCACTGATGTAACCATGTAAACACATCATCTTAGTCCAATTGAATCTGACCGACCATTACTGAATGTGTTATACATTTCTGATCTGATATCAACCATATGTATTAATATTTTGTATTTTCCAAGCAATTGTGTGATGAATGCTCAGCAATTCTCACTTGTCGTACTTCTTGAACAATTGTGGGTTTTTACATTCTGCAACAATGTTAACTGTCCTCGTCAGTATTATTGCATGCCACAATCGATACAATTTAGATCATTAATGAGGCAGAGAGCTACAACCTTGCCATCCCAGGCTGAGTGGGATACAGTATCCCAGCGGTCAGAAAGAGATCCCTGATAAAATACCTTCCCTACCTGGGAATCAAACTCAAGTCTTCTGTTTTGCAACAACAAAATGTCTAACCATAAGCCCACCACCACTGGTAGTCCCATCTCACACAACCCAACACCCCACAACGAGTCACCTCGAGCCCTCGGTGGTCGCACTACTGCTGGTGGCACCTCCGTGCACGACCGGGTTGGAATGTCCGCCCGCCACCGTGGGCTGGGACGAGGAGACAGAGAACTCCTGCAGCTGCTGCGCCATCTTCTTCTCTACCGAGATCGGCGATTTTGTTTTCTGCGACAGTAACGGAGCATCACTTCTCTCCGTCTGCAATGTTGAAAGATATACAACCGTGTCAGTCGTACCGGTCTATTCAGGCTTATATGTGGGGTACAGACAGGCACATCAACACAACAACAGCCATAAGAGCTAGAAAAAAGCAAGACTGATGGACAGACAAACAGATAAAGAGTGAATAAATACAACCTACCAGTGGCACCCTCAATACACCCGCATTCTTAGCCAGGCAGGCGGCATCAGTTGGTATGTATATGTTAGAGAAAAATGAGCCTGCCAACCTGTCAATGGTCATTTAGAGCTTCAAAAGGCT